GGCTGGAGGGGAGGGGACGGCTGGGCCCGCGGCCCAGCCCCTGCAAGGGGGCATCTCCCGCCTGCTTAACTGACCAGCCGGACGCAGCATCACCCCCACCGAGCACCACGCCTCTGTCTCACCGGCTCGGGGTGCTGCAGCATTTAAATACGGGCCTGGCTCGGGGCGTGGCTGTGAAACTGAGGTTGTGAGTCCTCAGCTGCAGCCTTAACCTCCCTACACTTAACAACTGTCCCGAAATACTGCATTTTTGCTCTGAAGCCTCCCAGACATGCTGCCTTGGCGGACATCGACGTGCTGCAGAGGTACCTTGGCACAGAGTTCCCACACAGCATCGCTCCATGCTGTTTAGCTCCCAGAAAGTGAGAACAAACCAAAAATGTTGACTTTACCTAAAAGGGTCTTCATGGGTTAAAAATGCCATTACTCACTGTTGCAGTCAGCTTAATAACCAACTTAATTCCTGGCTTCAGCTTCATATTCAACTTCGTTAAACTGGCATTTAACAAGCCCTAATGAACAATACTTACTTAACTGAGCAATGACACCCTGCAGCTCTTTCTAACCCGTCTACCCAGGGTCTTTCACTCTTATGCTCACATCTAGCACCAGAGCCTCCTATGAATTTGTTTTCACCATCTCTGTTAACTTAGGTCTCAAAAAGCCAGGTATTACTGAAGTTCTACAAGCTCTGGCAAGAGTCTTATTCCCTCTTTCACCTTGTTTCAACTACTGAGGAGACATTCCAGGAACATGGAGTTACACAGGTCCAAGTCATATGTACACCAACAGGCCCACAACCTCCACATGAACAAACACCCAATGTACGTGTTTGTTAAAACATCTGATCACTGTAGTATCCAACATAAAACCACCCTAGAATTGATATGACAGCACTTGGTTTGAGCCCAGTCCACTGAATTTCAATTTCTTCACAAACCTAACATAGATGCATTTCTTTCATAATTAGATCTGGAATGATTACAAGCTTCGGTGGAATCCAGCAGACTATGGAGGTGCAGAATTCATCCGAGTGCCATCTGGCCAGATCTGGAAGCCAGATATTGTTTTATATAACAAGTAAGACTCTCACATACTTATCTTCTTAATTTGGGAAGAAGGGGGGTGATGTTACTAATTGTAAAAAAAAAAGAATCATCAGCAGCTTCACTGAATTAACTGAAAAAGCCTGCTCTTCAGCCCACCTGTGTCCCACATCTTCCTGTTGCTCTACTCGCCACTATGCCACCTCCATCATCACTGGGCAGGAGTCAGCTCCCAGCCTGGAGTTGCAAGCAGGCAGGCCGAAGGGAACTTCACTTTTCCCCTGCACAAGCCCCCACTTTTACTATTATTTTTATCACTGTCTACAAGGGAGGTGGCAAGAAATTTCCTCAGACTGGAGAGTTCTCCGAGTCAGACCTTTAACTGGAAAAAACCTGCGAATTCTAGCTTTTTAGCAGTTAAACTTGTAATTTGACACCTTTACAATAATATAAAAGCCACAGGTAAATTTACTTTGATGTCTAAACTAAAACTTTAGATGTCTTAACTAAATGGATCCCTCTGCTATGTATGGAAGCAGTTCTCAGCAAAGTGAACTTCACTACACAGATCCAAAACTTAGGTCTATGAAACAACAATGATGACACTCCTTTTCTAACTACGGCCTTAAAACTTTGAATTACCTTTTTAGTTTTACTTTTTCATATAAATAACTGAAATTATCACACGGGCCTTCTATGACCTGTGTGATCAGGATAGCGATGTGGGACTTAAAAAAAACCCTCATCAAATACACTCCTTATACAAAAATGCACCCCCAACCCTAATCCCTCTTTCCATAGTTACTACCTGCACTGCCCACAGAAGAGGTGGAAGTACCAGTACTGCAGGTATCCACTTAGCAGCCCTGGGGTTCTGATGTGCTTGATCTAGAACAGAATAGAATAAAATAATTGAGCTGGAAGGGACTGACAATGATCAGCTTGTTGGACTGCCATTTGCAATCTCATATTTGCTGCTTTGAATATTGATTGCACTGAATCATATTATTCTAAGGGCAAATATTTCCTTTCAAATCCATAGAGAATTTATACAGCTGTTTATTTCAGTTTAACTCTGCAAATTTGACAGCTGCTAATTCAGTCCTCCACATGCAGTTCAGCTCCATGTGAACATGCAATTGCTGACTCTCCCAAAACAGATTAAAGTGTTAATGCATATGATCTGAATCTATGAAGCTACCTGGAGTAGTTGCATTCTAATTTTTGCTATTTTTATTTGCTTTACAGTGCAGTGGGCGATTTCCAGGTTGATGACAAGACAAAGGCCCTATTAAAATACACGGGTGATGTGACCTGGATACCTCCGGCGATCTTTAAAAGCTCATGTAAAATAGATGTAACCTACTTCCCATTTGACTATCAGAACTGCACCATGAAGTTTGGTTCCTGGTCTTATGATAAAGCCAAAATTGATTTAGTTTTAATTGGCTCTACAATGAACCTGAAAGACTACTGGGAGAGCGGAGAATGGGCTATTATTAAAGCTCCTGGGTATAAACATGACATCAAATACAACTGCTGTGATGAGATATATCCAGACATCACATACTCTCTTTACATTAGACGTTTACCTTTATTTTACACTATCAATATGATTATTCCATGTCTGCTGATTTCTTTTCTGACTGTATTAGTTTTCTATTTGCCTTCAGACTGTGGTGAGAAGGTGACACTCTGCATATCAGTCCTTCTGTCTTTAACAGTGTTCCTTCTTGTTATCACAGAAACAATACCGTCTACTTCCCTGGTAATTCCCCTTATTGGGGAATACCTCCTTTTCACCATGATATTTGTGACTCTATCGATTGTCATTACGGTATTTGTACTTAACGTGCACTACAGAACACCCAAGACACACACAATGCCTGTGTGGGTGAGAACCATTTTCTTGAACTTACTTCCCAGGATCATGTTTATGACAAGGCCTGCCAGTGATGAAGAGAATCATCAGAAGCCAAAACCACTTTTCACTTCTGAGGTTTCAAACTTAAATTGCTTCAACAGTTCTGAAACCAAATGCTGCAAAGATGGCTTTGTATGTCAAGATATAGCATGCAGCTGTTGTCAGTATCAACGAATGAAGTTCTCGGATTTCAGTGGCAATCTCACAAGAAGTTCAAGCTCTGAGTCTGTAGACCCTCTGTTTTCATTTTCAGTTCTGTCACCAGAAATGAGAGATGCTATTGAAAGTGTTAAATACATTGCAGAAAATATGAAAATGCAGAATGAAGCAAAAGAGGTAAGAGCATATTTTACTTTTACTCAAACTGCAGACACCATTTGTTATTAGTGTGTTTTGCCAGAAAAATATATCAAAAAAAAAAAAAAAAGACAACACAAGACCTTTATTTTATGCAAGTAAATTACCCACGCTGTATTACAAGTATGTGCAATTTTGAATGTAGATAAATTTAGGGCGCATCTCTGGTACACAACATTTTCTTTATTGACAATGCATGTACTAAGCGCAGCATGCTAAGGTAAGCACTGCTAGGGAAACATACTTGAGTATCTGTCCTACAAGACACAGAGCAAGGATTTTCCAAGTTCTAATCTTAATAATGTAATTTGCTGATTCTAGCACTTTTAGAAAGTTACATTCTCCCTCCCACAGCTTACCATCGATAACAATGTAAGAATTAATGTCCTTCACAGTGACAATGTTGCCTGTTCTGCAGCTGCTGCAGAGTAAAGTGCTGTAGCTAAATGAGACAACTGCTGCAAGTCGGGGACCATCATCTTTTATAAAACTGCATCTTGATGCAATAAAAAAGAAAATTAAACTTTTCTTTTTATCACATTCCTCAAACATAGTAAGAATAGTAACCAGACCACCACAATCATCATTGAATTTAATTCCTCTGCAGCACGGCACTTAAAGTTAGAATGAAATTATTTTATTTGTGCTGAAATCAGAACTTTATTTATAATTAGTTGGCATAGAAAATGTGGGGTTGGCTTGAGGTTTTTTTGTGAGTCTTAACAAAGAAGTTCTAAGCTAAAAAGCACAAAATTTCAAAACCAACATATGCATTATTCATTTATTAGCCTCCCCGAAGAAAGAAAAAAATTTGGATTGTAATCTCAAGAGTAACTAAAACGATCACCTTATGTAGTTGCTATTAATACATAACATACAAAATACTTCAGTGTCACTCTTGTTATAATGCCCACTGTAAAAAAAAAAAAAAAAAAAATCACTTGGTTCCCTCTCTACATGGAAGATAAGGTGATGAGTTTTACATCATGCATGAGAACAATCAAATTTCAGTACTACATAAGAAATGTACTAAATAATTATATACCAATTAACCTTTGTCTTTTTACATACTGCCTAAAGACCAGTAGGAGCACTCTGTTTCAGTGAAGTTTTCTGGACAAACCTGATCACCTAAGAATGTAAAGCTTTTCACTTTTATTTTTGGCACACAGAAGAGGAGTTCTACCTTGAAAAGTCCAGTGTCTTGGTCAACAACTTTTTGTATTTGAAGAAGTAGCTTTTGGTTTCACCACAAATAGCATATGCAAACAAAGCTTCTTCAAGATGAGTGCATTTGTCAGTGAAAACAGAGGTACGCAAGTTGTGCATATATGAAAGACCTCTACATATAGGAAAAAAAACTGTGTTTCCCATATGAAATGGTACTCATTGCTAATGTGAGTTGTTAATCTAATAAACATGCCTACTTGCTCTTCAATTTATTTTTCAGATTCAGGATGACTGGAAATACGTTGCCATGGTAATCGATCGTATTTTTCTATGGGTTTTCATCCTGGTATGTATTCTAGGAACAGCCGGATTGTTTTTACAACCTCTGATGGCTGGAGATGAAATGTAAAGATTAAACAGTATGTTGTAAAAAATCAAAGAAAACTTTTGCCTACCAACTCTGCACCCCCACCCCAGCACCTGATGTCTCTTCTTCTATGTGTAGTAGAATAAGGATCTCTCTTGGCCTCAAAACATGAAAAAAAAAAATATATTTTGAACGTTTAAGACAGCTAATCTCAAAGTAATGAGAGCTATGCTTGACAGCTACTTTTTGCAATACCAGGAAAAGATGTAGGTAGTACATTAAACTTTATAGGAATGGTTTAAGAAGCGTTGATAAAGAGACTGAAAGTTACATGATTATTCGGAAAGTCAAGACAGGTTGAATACCTGGGGCTACTAGATTCGTTTCCATGAATTTGGTGCCAAGTCTGTTCAGACCAGGACAGGATCTTCTGGGAATAATTTCATGTAGAGTTCAATGAATGCCCTCAAGAGGACAATATGTTTTAGGAAGCATACATATCAAATTGCTAGAAAGCAGACATTGCCAGCTGGCGTATAAACTGACTCAAACAGCGGGAGGAAAGGACCATGGCAGGTTTATTACAAAAGGAAAACAAATAGGTAAATAATAGGTAATGGTAATAAAGCAGCCATACTGTAAACTCTGTGCATCCCCATATTTCAGTGGATGAAAAGACTGTCAGAAAAAACAAGCTATTCAAACCTAATTAACGTTTAAAACTGTGTACAAGTAAAACAAGTAAAACTAAGATGCAGTCTGCGGGTTATGCAAAGGATCAAAGTACTTTGATAGGATAGTTTGGATACAGAAGCATCCTGCTATAGTGAAGTGTTTTATGACAAGGGAAGGCAGGTAGATACAAAGTAGTCCTGTAAAGTATGCTAAAATTGCTTCTTAGGCATGCCTTTTTTTAATCAGTAACTGCAGATAATTTAAGAGCATGAATAAAGAATGCAACAAAATACTGTAATGAAAAAATATTTTGTAAAAATATTAATTGTTCTCTGTACCAAACTGGAAACTTTTTGGAAATACAGTGTATCATGTGATGTAACATTTATGAAAATAAAGAGAATCAAGCTGTTGAAAATTGTGCTTTTTTTTTTTTTTCATTTATTTTGACCAAGTGACAAAAAAACCTATATAAGGTAGCATTAGCTACAGTTCAACACATTGAGAAACAAGTTACATAAGTAAAGGTCCATGCTTCTGAGTCTATTAAAATAATTTCATTTCAGACACACCTAATAAGCTGAAGACCCCAAGGATTCTCATGTGAGCTATCTTACCTGTATTTATCATGATCAGATTGTAGAAGTGACTAAAAGAAATGCATGCATTTGCAAAAATTTTGAGTTATAGTATAAAGACTGGGACTCCACTGGCCAATATACTGCCAACCACCTTATATGAGGTGGGGAGTTAAAAAAATATAGCTAATCTATAGGTTTTTTTACTTCGCTTTCTGTTCAGGTAATAGTAAACTTCAGTAATTCAAACCCAAGGAGGACTATAAAATGAAATTTTGCATTTGAAGAGGAAATAATATATCTAAAGTATTTCTGCAAATTCCACACGCAGGAAGTCGCTGATGCATTGTTTAATCTTAGTAATACTGAGAAAGTTAAGATTATTATATTAATGGATGAAATGAAGTAATCTTTGCAAACTCACCTTTAAAATTAATTATGCTGGGAATAGAGGAAATATGGATAGCCAATGCCAAATGTAATTGTATAATGTAAGAGAATGACTCCCTTTACAATCAGAATTATTTATAAAATGGCATTAAAAAAAAAACAAAAAACCTGCCACACCAAAAAAAACCAAAAGGCTTGGCTGGCATTATTTCCCTGCCTGTGAGCCTTATGAAAGCTACACAAAACCAAGAATGTCCTACAGGTGAAAACAATTTGAAACAAATATTCAATAAGTTATGACATAAGCAATCAGTATTATAATCAGTACAGTGCCAAACAGTGCTATTCTAAAGGAGATACAGAGCAGGAGGAAAATATGTATCTGTGTTCCAAATTCATAACCACTAAAAAAAACCCTACTTTATCAAAGATACAACAATTTACATTAAACTTCTCACCTAAACATGCTGCTATTAATGTAGTAAGCAAATAAAAACTTCCCAAGCTTTGCTCCAGCTTGGCAATACTGTATTAGCCCTATAGGATGCAGCTGTATCATGAAGTACACTAACAAAACTTTGGCACAGGAAAACCCCCATCTGTTTTAGAGTCTCTTCCAGAAATAAAGCTTTTAAGAAAGGTGGCACTGGAATGAATGCAAAGAATTTAAAATCAGTATTTGAAGATTATTTTAATGGGATTTGAAGAATATATTTTAATGGAATAGTTAAAAAGCTGCAAGTTAGTTTGCAACACTGTCAGAAAAAAAAAGAAGGTATGGAAAGCTCTAAGTCCTCGCTGCTTAGGGTTACATATGGTTCTGTAAGGGAGAGAACCTACTCAAAGTAGCTTTCTAAGTTCGGTTTAACAAATGTGTGAAAACTTAATCATCTGTATTTGGTTCACAGCATAATAATTTTCAACCCATTTCCTTTGGAAAGGCATTCCCCAAATTCCTTCTACCTGCACTTAAAAACTTAGGGCTGAGAAACACACAAAAGCAGGAAATTATTAACATATTTGCAACTAACATACTGTATCAAATTCTTCATACTGTATCAAATTCTTCATCAAGAATAAAGCTAGCCAAATGTTCCTGTCCATTAGAATACTTGTGCAATTTGGGAACTCATTTAATTGTCTTTGCCTTCATTTCCACAGCTGATACAGAGATATCAATATACATGTATCCTGTAGGCATCTTAAGGCTTACTGTATTAAATGTTAGCATGATAGAATTAACATGGTTTAAAATTTAGCAGCAAATTCCACTGAAAATTAATAAAGCCAAAACATAGCCAAATCGCTATTTCTACTTACATGTTGAATATACAGGAAGTTTAACTGGTATTTTTATCATTATTTTAAGTTTACTCTCCATACTTTTACAACACATTCAAGAGAGCTGATAAAAATTCTCTTTTGCATACTATAGGAAATTGAAATAAGCAACTCTACTGTGTAAGTATCTGCAAATATTTAGTACTCAACATAATTTATATAGTAATTTAATAATTGGACTACAATGATTGTCATTAAAAATTTTAAATCCTTCCATTTCACAGTAGGTGTCAGTGTATGCTTTTCTGACTTATCATACATGCAAGTGCTTGAGAAGGTCCTTTTAATTCTGACTTGATTTAGAAGTAACTTAGTAGACAGGCAATAAGCAAATTGGCTTCTATATGTCCTAGGAATACCATGCTTTAATATAAATGTAATTGTCTGGTTTAGGATTTTTTTTTTTTTTTACTCTATCAGAAACATGCCTACAAAGAAAGTGCGTGGAAATAGGGCTACTGCAAAACTCCTTAGAGCCATGTTAGCAGGAGACAGATCCAAAAACACTCTATGCATTTGTACTGCCTATATGCATAGGTACTATTATACTTGCCCATTTATGAATAACAGGAATAAATAACACAAGTGATCCAATTATTGAAACCAGAATAAAAGCCCATAAGAACATTCGATCAAGCACCTGAGCAATAAATTTCCAGTCTTCAACAACCTAAAAAGCAAGAGCATAAAAGTTGGTCAGTATGTGCAAGAACAGGTAAAAATACAGTATCAAATCCTGCAATTCTTCATCACTTTACAGTACACTTTCTCCCAATCAGGTCCATTTGGTAACCCCCTTTAATAACTTTTTATAATTACACTATGGAACAAACTTCCCTCTATGAAGACTGGTAAGCTATATAGACCAATGCCAGATTTTAATGCAGAAACTGACTCTGATAAGCAGTAAAAATCCTCAACTACAGAGACATGAAATCGATATGCAGTTTTCTAACATGCTGCAGTATTTAGGATTTATGCCACAGCCTCATCATAAAATGGGATTCCTATGCAGAAGCTAGAACTAAAAGTTGTAAAAAAAAACAAAAAACAAGCCAAACAAAAAAACCCACCAAACCCAAAACAAACCACCAAGAAAAAAAAAAAAAAAAACAAAAAAAAAACCAACCCAAACAACCCATCTAAACCCAAAAAAAGAAAAAAAAATTAACAGTAGACAGCAGCTGTTGTGTTGCCTACAAGATCTGAAAACTGTGAAGTTACTGTTGCACAGAATTATACACTAGGGAGAATACTCACAGTACTTTCAAGAATTTTTTCCTTTTTGACAGGACTCTTGATATCTATACAACAGTTTTGCCAGTATAGCAGATATAGGTGTGCAAGCAAATTAAAACTCTGCCATACAATTGTCTTTGATTTGAAATGGATCTATCCACATTTCCCAAGCGTACTGCTTCCTAAGAGATAAGGCTAAAACAGCACTAGCTCTGTAGCTTTTACTAACAACTTTTGCAATTAAAGTTTGCGTTCTCTGGAGCCCAAATAATAAAATACAAGTGAATCCTCAGTCAGCTGTATATTGACTTCTGAGGTTTAGAGTCACAACAACATTACACCTGAAAAAAAAAAATAATTATCACCTCTCTTGTCACTCACAGTCAAATAGAGTAAGCTCAGTAAGAGAAAGAAAACCAAGGCTTAATCTACAGGAATGATGTATTTAATAGCGAACTATTCTATTTGTGTTGTTTATAAAATGCAGGGGTATTAGATGCTGTTTTAACAGTACAGTAGCTACATTTACTCAAAATTCAGGCTGGATCCCTTGTGGTAACATCAGAATTGAGTCCTGAGAAGGTACATTGGAGGAGTTAGCTTACTGCTAGACTAGCATGAGAGAACACACTCTCAGCAACCAGCAACTTTTGAAGACAGTCATTTCTGTATAAATTGAAAGAATCTTGGGCCTTGCCATCAGAAACAGCAGTATCATGAGACCACACAACAAACTTCTCTATTTCTACACTGCGTGAAAATAGCATTTAAGTCTCTGATGTACCAATGGTGTTAGCTTAAAAAGCACTGAAAGAAAAA